TTCCATCCACGCTCTCTGTAGCACCTCCAGTGAGATGACAGCAAGTTGGCAAGCCCTGCAGCTGGAGGCTCCTCTCTCTCCCTCTCTCTTATCCATCCCTCTATCCTCCCAGGATTCCCTCTGTTAGATTACACACTTCGATGTTCAAACTGACACTTTCCCGAAAAGACATCCAAGCCGCTGTGGGATTGGACCGTGACTGCGACAGCGCCGACGCACAGGCTATAGGGTGGTGTGGGTGTGGGTGTTTGTTTCTGACACTGCTGGAAATGCTACGAACCATCCAATGACAAGTTAATCCACTGCAGCTGTACCTATGCCAGGGCTGAGCATGTTAACGCTGCTTTGGGATATGTCATGCTTGTGTGAATCATAGGTAAAGAAAGTGGGGATTTACTGTTAGGATGACTCATGATGAGTCACCTTGTACGTATAGAAAAATGCAGTAAATGCTGTATGAAATAGTGAAAGAAAACTTTACTATAAGGCCAAAAGGGGGTCGAGAGGTTCCCTGCACGTGTTTTGAACCAATGAGAATCTCTGAAACATGACAAAATGGTGGCAGCCAGCTCTTAGTATTAACTTCATGTCTTTTGTCAGCTGTTAAGCGTCTGCAGTATAGTCCTGCTGGCGAGATAACACCCCAGGTAACCAAGGCATGCAGGAGAGAAGCCATACTGGAAACACAATTCTAATGCAAATCAACACACAAGCAAATGACACTCAGGCTTTTTTGACCTTTCTGATGTCTTGCATGCTTTCAGCTTGTGTGGCCTGCAATCAGAGTTACCTAACATTATAGTGAGACAGTCAGTCAGTCAGTCAGTCAGTCATGTCCCTCGCTAAAAAAACAGCCTCTTCTGCCCATGCTCAGTCATGACAAGGCATTGACATCACTGTCAGACTAAGAGTGACTAAAACTGACAATCCCCTTTACCTCAGAGAAAGAGAAATAGGAAAAACACTCAGCTATTGGGGAGGAGGGGGGGACAGTGAAAGGGGAGGGAAGGCGGAAAAGGCCTGGATGATTCACACAGCATGCGGCTGAGGTAGCCGTGTCTTGGAGTACATGAGTCATGTTTATCATGCAGCAGCACTATAGGTAGGGGTTGCACAACTTCCACTAAATTAGGAATGCTGCTTTGGCGCAAGTGTTTACCTGATGATGGGAAAACAGCAGCTCTAAAAAAGCTCCCAGTGATAGCAGCACACATCTGTCACACTAATGTCACTAGCTGCAGCAACAGTAACACTGCCACAGCTCTCTAGCAGAAATATGGATAAGTTAAGATAAGTTACAACCTCAAACAGAGCCAAATATCTATGCTGCATTCAAAAAGTCAAAACACTGGTTTGTGGACATGCTAGTATGAGCACCTTTTTCATTGAAGAAGGAAAACTACAAGAAAATCAACAGGATGGAAACATTTAAGGCAACCCCTCTCTCTTCATTAGCCTGCTTTCTCCAAGAAGGTCAAAACAAATTTTTAACTAACAATACATCAACCGAGTGTGTTTTTTATAGCCAGGGCAGGACGATAGAGTGTAATATTCCTCCATAAAGCAGAGTTATGGCTCGCACAGTAAAGGTTAAAGCGATGATGGCGGAAACAGTCCGGTCCACCTTAAAAAGTCAAACCCTACAGTGGACAGCGCCGTGGTGCTGAAACAGCTCCGAGCGACATCTGTACACAAGAGGAAGGGGGGGGGGGGGGGGCGACAGGATCTACCGAGACTTTAACGTTGAAATCACACACACCCCGCGTGCGCCATTGCCACAAAGGACACCTTAAATGATCTTTCCAGTGTCATATTGTGTAATCTCGGTGACGTTCGTGGGGAAAGGTTAAGCAATTTGGCGTGCTTTTTACGTGAAAATGGCGCCCGTTGCTGCTAACCCAGCCCATTATAGTACAGCTACAGCTACAACAAAGTGCAGGGGAAAGAGGCTGGAGTGTGTGCCGCATTATAAAACGATACTCAGCCATTCAAATAAAGTGTTTTCTAAGAGGGGGGAGTCGAGAGGTGGCGACCAGGCGAGGGAGAGATTGCTCTCACCTTGGTCCTACCGGCTAGTACACGACTATTTCAGCTGTGGCTTGGATGTCAAGAGGCAACATGATCCAGCAGCATCTCACACAGAGACAATTACAGAAATTCACACTGTAATAGCAAACAAGCCACAAACACCCGGGGTTATACACCGCCAGCAGCACCGGCAGCCTCCTCTATACCTCCGCTGTTTCCTTACTTTAACATCGACTGTTCCTTCGCTTCCTCCTTCTTCTGTCGGTCCATGACACCGAGGATGATCTTCCTCTCATCCTCGGTGAGGTGGCTGAGGTCCGGCATCTCCGGCATGGCGCCGGCCGCTGAGGTAGCAGCAGCAGCAGGGCCAGGGCCGCCCCGGGGCCCGTGTGGAGCAGACATCTTTTACACACAGTGGCTAAAAAGACGAGAAAAGCACCGTCAAAGCAGCAGCATTTTTTGTGTTGATACATTTCATGCCGTCAAATTTCAAATTGGCGGTGGGGTTGGGGCTGGAGGCACTGTGGCTTACAGGCGGCATGACATCTTGGTTAGGAGTATCATGCACACATTTACACTGCTGCACACATAAGCGTCAAAATATTAATTACAGGCTTCATCCTCATCTATTAAATGCTCATAATGTGCTTATCAAATAACGCTGCAGCCGAGTGGATGCTGCCTGCAAACAGGGGATTCGCAATATCAAAGCTGTTGCAGGCTGAAGCGCACAATTTACACATTTCAGAAAGAGAAACGGCTCAGGATTAGAAATAGATGCCCTTAAAAGCAGCATGAGTGCAAAGGCTGTAGGCTACAGCCTTCAGGTATTCCACACACAAGCCTCCATCCATCCAGGGGTTGGGGGAAAAAGTAGAAAAATACAGAGGATACAAAAAACAACTCTTGCCTTTTATTTTGCAGTCATGTTAAATCCTGTCTAACCCATCGCTGCCATCCTTTAGAGAGGTTTTACTCGCATGGTGAAATAAAAGATGCCCGGTGCGTCCTTGTTTGTTTTCGTTTGGAGTCCTTAACCCTCCTCTGTCACTCCGGTTAGCTCGCTTTCCTCCAGGTTGGTAATTCTTGGAGATTTCTTAAATGCACAAAAATGGATGCAATGAGAGAGAGAGAGAGAGTGAGAGAGAGAGAGATGGGAGGGGGGAAAGAGAGAGAGAGAGAGAGAGAGAGAGAGAGAGAGAGAGAGAGAGAGAGGGGAGGAAAAAAAATCCAGATAGGAAGAAGAGGCGGAGCGATGGAAACACGTAGAAGAATAAAGCCGAGAGGACGCGCTGGATGTTCATTGACAGCAGGCAGACAGCAGCCGCAAAAACACGGAGTGGAGCAGCAGCTGTGTGCAGCTGGAGCAAACAACGCTGTACCAGGAAGAGCATGATGCATATTTCATAACCAGATCATGAGCTGTGTGACAGAGGGAAACGTGAAGTGGGAAGATAAATACACAATATGACTAGTGACTGTGAGTGTAAGTGCAGGTGTGGCATGTGGTTCCAGTCAGTCCTGTTTTGATAGTGTGAAGTACACACTGGATTTGGTGCCAGCTGATGTGAGAAATGTTGTGATGACAAATGGAGGAAAATAAAGCTCAAACAGTTGCACAAGCTCCATCTGTGTCAGTGCACTTCACTGTGAGGACATTTTTTTACACAATGGTCAAATTTTTGATGTCATTTTAAGCAAAAAATGGCAAAAAAAAAATCAGACTCAAGACTTGGGTCACATACAATCTAAATATGCCATAATGAACTTGACACTTTTTTCCTGACATTTTTAGACCAAATGATCAATTGAGGAAATAACTGTAGATTAATCAGTCTTAAAATTGATTGTTGCTTGCACACCTATTTCAAACTGACTCAAACAACTGTAAAACGAAACTGGCTTTTTTAGTAGCTCTAGATACCAAGATGCCTCAGTCTTTAATCCCACCATCATATTTGTCTCAACCTCTTTGCAAACCCTTTCCTGTGGCACACATTTACCAGGTGACTAAAAACCTATACACATTTCTCAGTTCTGATCCCTGACTTAAAGGTCCTTCCTCTTCATCACCAACCGGTTCCCAAATACAGCCCTCTCTCTCTCTTAGGCCGCAGTGTTGATAGGCTTTGAAGGCTAACATTAAGAGGATAGTCTCTACCTTATTAGGGCTGTTTAAGTAAATTAGTACCATTACAGTGAGCTGCTGCAACAAGTCAAACAAGAAGGAACTTAGTGTTGACTCTGAATTCTGAATGATTCAGATCATGATTTCTTAATGTTTTGTTTTTTCACAACAAAAGCTTAGTTTAGAAGTTTATTATTAATATACATCAGCAAATAAGAGTGTTGGTTCAAAACTGAGGGGCACCATGGAAAGATTTTGGTAGCATGTCCAGTACAATGGCTAAAAGTAAACTTTAAATGGTCACTTCTGTTGATATACAACAATTTCTAATTTTTCTAAAGGCACGAATGTGCTTTAAAGGAAAGATTTGTCCGATTTTCAGACATTGACAATTTTTGGAACTTACTAAAACATATGGAAATCACAGACACTTTACAGAGCGATTGCTCGGGTGTGTAGTAGAAACAAAGAAGGGATTTAAACTTCACTCTCAGAGAAGCTGGATCATGGAAAGACTGTCCTAATGTGTGCAATATTGACATCCATAAAGACATTCAAAAGAGACAGACTTCTTAAAGAGCGAACATGGATACAGTCAGGATGAGGCTATGACAGCAGGCTTTTCCACAGGCCTTTGAGTGTGGCCAATCCAAACAGAACACTTCCCCCTCTCAAAGCTGTTGGATGACAAGTTATTCGAAGCATACTTAAAGTTATATGCCACCTGTGGTAGTTTTAATAATCAACTATAGCACAACTCTTGCACATCATTCATAGAAAAACTGTATCATGTGAAACCACACTGAAAACATGTTGCAAGAAGGTACCAAATCATGCAACAATCTTTAAATATTGGATTAATTTATTCTGTTCTTAACTTCCAAAATTGTCGTGGATCTTGTGATAAAAAATACACACTTGCTCAAGGAAAAATGTGTCATTAGTCACTCAAATACAGGAAAAATAGTACTGTGTGTAAGGTATTCCTGCAACAACGGCACAGTGAAAAGTACAGCTGAGCTTTGCCTTCTTGGCAGAAATAATGCTCAACAAGATTTAATGTTTGTATGTATTAACAGTCTGTGTCCTTGTACTTCAAACGATGCAGAACTGGTCACTTGTCCTTCCCACACTGACAAACTAAAACTTTTTTTTCCCCCAGTTCTTAAGTGAGAGTAGTCTGAGCATGTCCCATGTAGGTGTGATCTTGGGCTCCACCTCATCTCTTGATGGAGCCACTTGGTCTCCTGTTCTCTCCTCCTGCTCTGCCTATTTGACCACAGTCACAACATGCTTCTCCTTCTCAGTCACCACAGGAACAGTTCCAGGCTTGCTGTGCTTGCGGACATTCCTCTCCCTGAAAAACAAAAGAGGAAGAGCTGTGAATAACCCAATCTGCTGGTGAGAATATTCAGGAGAGGATGGAGAGAAAGATGAGCAAACAGAGAGCAGGAGGACTGTTGACCTAACACCTACGTCACAGACTACACTAATGTACCTTGAAAATAATGCATAAAGCATGGATAGTAAATCATTCACAGTCCAAACACATGGCTGATGTGTCACAATACCGCCAGTAATTAGGAAAAAAAGAGACGCAGTCTGAGCTATGAATCACAGGACGGCGGGGCAAACTGGGACAATCAATCCACCATACAAGCTGTAAATGAGTATGTAAGGGCTACTGAGACCATGTCATAGGGGGCAGTCCCATCAGAGAAATTTTCCATTAGGCTGGTGTGACTGCATAGGGTCAGACAGACCCTGGCAACAGCCCAAGTCACCATCACCTCCACATGTGCAGTAAGGGTGTGTCATATCATTCCCATAGATAAATAAGCAACTCCTTTTCCAAAAGAAAAGGCAAAGAATAAAGAACACATACTTCCTACGGCGAGCCTCTTTCATAATCCTCAGCTCCTTGGTCTGGTGGTAGATGTTCTTGGGTAGGTGTCGATGACGAGAGATGCGTCTGATCTGCGGATGGTGCTGGAACTTCTCCTTCAGCTTCTGATTGTAGTTAGCAGCCTCCCTCTCTCTGGGGGCCATCTGCACGACACAAGGGAGGAGGAGTTGGTCAGATAAAGGCGAATTAAAAATGAAAAGAGAGAAGGGGAAAGATGAGAGAAGATAGATCCTTTGTGCGGCAGACATTTTGACATATCATAGTAGGAAAAGCACAGGTGTATTTAAAAACAATAATGACAGCTGAATTCCATTTAAAGTAGGTCCTGGTGTGATGCGTGCTGGCTCACTGGAATAACTTAAGACACATTTGAAAGGGAACTGAGTCTTGGTTGAGCTGTCAGTCTTCCTCTATGATCCCATTTAAATTTTATTCCTTAATAATTTTAATATTTCATGTATATCACAATTTTAAATGCTAAATTGTAGAGACTTAGGCATATCTTCTGTACCAATGCACTTTATACACCAGCTTATGCACAGCAAATGCTACCACCAGCATGTGGTTGTTACACGTTCTGTCCAACAGAGGGCATTTCAACATTACCAGTGCACATTTGGAATAGAGTCCGCCAGGAATGAATCCTGGTTAGATGCCTGAAATTAGGTCTGTAGTTAACACCTAGCCTGGTTCCAGATCATAGACCCCGCCCACTCAACTGACGAGGCTTGCATCTCTGGTCTGGCATACTGCAATGAATTTGCGATTTATCTCGTCCAAACGATGGACAGACCAATGAATGCTGGGGGTGGGGGCGGGTCTAGCAATTAGCCAATCAGAGCCACGCTGAAGTCAAGCTGAACGCCGGTAGGTAACTGGTGAGGATAGCAACAATGGCGACCGCTACAGATCCTACAGACCACATTAGCGATGCTATCGAGGTATTTCGCAACTACTCGCGTTAATGGAGGACCAAATTAAGGAAGCTGCTAAACTGGATTTAACGGCGATGCAGCTGGGCGTGCAGGACAACAGAGACATTTTAAACGGGCAATGCTCGCTTGTTTTCGGCACCCCCGAGGCATGGATACTAATGACGTCAGATTCTGGGTGAGTTGTTGATCTCTACTGATTGGTTAGGGAAAAATCAAATTCCCTCCCCCTTGTAAACCACCTTCAATGGAGGCAATGTCAGACTGAAGGTTCTGGGAGCTTCAGTCTGACACTCAGGCTAGTTAACACCAGCTTAGGAGACTTTGATGTTTTGTACTACGACATAAAATATGTCAGTAAATACCCCACTTGTGAACTTAAAAGCTTCTACGTATTTTGGCGGTTACTAAGAAGTGGCTGAATGACACTACAGACATTGTCACACCACGCCGCGCCAAACACAGCTTTACAGTCTGGTGACGTGAGGTCATGTGACTGAGGTGTAGTTTGTTTATAGCCTAAAAGAAATTTATTTACATGTGGTGATTATATTTAGGCTTCAATAATCATGAAAGTGGTGTTCATTTGTAAGTTATTTTGCTGAACAAAACATTTAAGTATAGTAAATGTTTGTTTGCCAGAGAGCTTATTTTCCGCAATAATCCAAAATCCAATAGAAAAATCTCATTAGGTTTTTTGACGAGGAAACCAGAGCAACGCTAACTTCCGTGTCAGCCTACAGGAAAAGCACTCTACTTCCAACAGGTGATAGCTTTGTGGCTAAGTAGTAATTACACTTACAGGCCAAGATTTGCTTACTTTAGCCAACACATTAATAAATAGAAAAAAAACCCATTCAAATAGTAATTTTAGCATTCAAGCGGTATTAATTTCTTCCAATATTTGATCAGTATTCGACTCCATAAATGTGTTCTAACAGCCTAAATTTCTATTAAGTCCTCTATACTATACAATGTTTATCACTGGCCTTGGAAGCAGCAGTTGACAAAATAATGTTACATCTATTTGGTGGGTATTCTGAATCTTTTGTTCATATCACATGATCTTCATCAGCACATTAAGTTTGGAATCTCAGAACTTTCAATACTTCTCATCCATGTTGGCTTACAAGCCAAGATTCAAACTTGTCTTTACCAATTCCATGACAATTGGGCAAACTCTATCTTCCGATGAAAACCATGTGATGTGATAAATAGCTCCGGAGCACCAAACAGACCATGTGGTGACATTATTTTGTCAACTACTGGGTTTAGTTTAGGGAACTGTCAAGGTTATCAATAAAAGAAAACAACATGGCTGCTGGTAGGGAAATGGGATGCTGAGGCGATGGTGAAATTACAGTTTTTGAGGAGGTGTACATGGCTATGGCAAAGTGACTGTGAGGCCATGAAATAGTAGTTCAGTTTTTGTATGGATTAAACAAACAAGTTAAATATTTACAGAATATTTTTTGGGTATTTTTGCCTTTATTGATAGGACAGCCACATAGTGGAAAAGGTGGGAGATAGAGGGGGTGACACACAGCAAAGGGTCACTGATCACAATCAATCCCAGGCCATTGCAAAGACTCAGCTTATGTGGGGCGCACACTCTACCAGGTGAGCTAGAGGTCGCCCCAACAAGTTACAAGTGCAATTTTATAGATCTTAAACGTCGTGTTAACTCATACTATGTTTTAATAACTCACACTGTAAGGATCAATTGACTGGTGCTAACACTGAATTTAACCCTGGAGCCCCCAGTTGGGTTTGTCCAGTGACAGTTCCAGTAAAGTTAAATGAAACAAGCCAAACCCATCCTCAACAACAAACAAAAAGAGAGAAAGGCAGCGTTACTTTGTGCAACTGTACTATAAAAGGAAAGTTAAGAAGAAAAACATTTATGTATAGAGCCGCAGATGGCTGGAAGATGCTGGCAATCTGGTCTGTCTGTTCTGTGGGGAAGTTCAATATTATATCAGAGCAGTCTCAGCCAAGACATGTTTTAGCCAGAACATGTAAAAATACAACCCCAATAATATTAAAACAATCTAACTACAGTTTAAAATGGATCGTTTGACAGCAATCATGCTCAAAGTGCGTGACCTCCCTCAAACCGCACATCAAATGAAAACTGATTGAAGAAAAATTTGGCTGGACTGTAAATTTATTCTGGAGAGACTAATTTGGGGTTAAAAATTAGGTTTAAGCCAAACAGTGTCTGCCCACATCTTGAAAAATGCTAGTAGGCAGATTGTTACTTTAAAATAGAGTCAGGCTTGTGCTAAGCTAAGCTAACCGACTGCTGGCAATAGCCTCATATTGAACGGACGAACATGAGAGTGGTATCAATCTTGTCACCTGACTCTCGGCAAGAAAGCAAATAAGCTTATTTCCCCAAAACGTTTCTGAGAGACACCAGTCAAAATTTATTTGACTACAGGATGTCCTTTAAGCAACACAGGTCTTGTTTTATTTAGTGAGGACTGTGTCTTTCTGCTGGAGATCAGTGCCAGCAACAGAGGATGACCCGTGCTAACTCTGCATTTCTGAAACTCCCTCTGGAGATGAGTCAGAGACCTTGTTACAGGCATTTAACTTGTAACGTTGTATTTATACCTATTGAGAGAACGTGAATTATGTCACTTATAGCATCTTGGGTTCCCATGGTGAGAGAAGTGACATCTGAGGTGTTTTGCTAAATGCCTTGATTCCAGTAATGAGAATTTCCAGTAGACGGTAATGAGTTTGATGCTGACCACAGGATGTCGTTTCCATTCAGCTCAGGTGGTATTTTGTTAATTACTGACAGTTGCGGTATGCTGTCTTACATCATAAAGCGTTGGCCAGTACAGTAAGCAGTAACTTCAGCTTGACAACCTGCTCATTCAAAACGGAATCAATGTCTGTTAAAAAGTGAAGACACCAGCTCAACAACATCCCTCCCTCTCCGTCTGTCTCATAAAAACCACCGGCTACTCGGACTCATCTTGGCTCAGGCTGCCCTCCTCCAAGGCTTTTATTTTAATTAAAAGCAATGATTTGTCTCAGATTCAATTTGTTGGAGAAGAGCTGTTAGATGCTGATCCTGTTGGACTAAACTAATTCCGCCTGGATACACACATGGTTAGCTTGCTAAACACGATTTGTATGAAATCAACAACATGACTGTGAGGCAGCAGAGGATGATGCTTCCCTTGGATTTTGTTTGGCTAGTGGGGCTCGCATGATCTTTACTTTTTTAGCAAAGACAGTCAAATAAACATGGGACTCAGTGGGTGTGAAAATACAACAGAGGCATTACTGCTGTGAGTGGAGACAGCTATTAGAAAGGAGCAACATGGAAACTCTGCAAAAATCACAGAAATTTTATTGCTGAGACTGATCAGCTGAAACCACTTTGTCATATTTTCTATCCAAAAGTTGACCTGGCTATAGCAAGGTGCAAAAACTATCTGTAATTCGACTGAAGCTCTGTTAGACGTGGTAAAAAAAAAAAAAAAAAAACCAAGATGTACACAGTCTACTGCAGGGATGCCAAAAACTCCTACCCATGCTAGAAAATCCCAAAAACAATAATCAAGATGTTCTAAAAGCAGTTCGGGTGCGGATGAAAATTAAAATAGCTTGTAGACACAGCCGTCCAAAGAAAGCAGACGCAGACTTGACAGACGACAGGCACTGCTGTGAGCTAAAAATGCAGCAACAAACAGAATGGCACAGATTGAGAAGAGGTGTCACTGCCACTTTTACTGTAAACGTACATTAGATCAAAATCATTTTGCTGTTCTTTTACCAGTGGCAGAGATATTAGGTATTCTATCAGCAATGATAACACTAATTCAACAGAGTAATTGCTGAGATCTGGGAACACAGGTTAGAAAGAATCCAGCTGTTTTGCCATATTACCTTAACCACTTTTTTTGGAGCTAAAACAAAATGTAAGCACACTCACAATGTTTTAATCATCAGTTTTGATAAAGAAAACTGTAAAACTACAGCAACTAAAGTAAATCAAAGCTGAGTTTGCAGTTTGTGATTATTTTCTCATTTAAATAAGTTTAGTTAACCTGCAGGTTTGTTTAAAACATCTAAAGGGTAACGCCACTGATTGTGCCCATCAGTGAGGCAACGTTGGTTGGTTGGTTCTGAGGTCTACAGGTTTGAAAATGTAAACATCTGAAGGGTAGGAGTTAGAGAAGAACAACATACCTGAGTCTCAAACCAAACTGTCAGTGGTTGCATTGTTGGATTAATGTAGGCACCATGTTTAGACAAGGACGGAGAATATCTGGATGAGAAAAGGCAACATCTCTGGTTGTACTACATTTACTTTGACCCTTTTCTTTAACTGTCTTACATGTGTGACTAACAGAGTAACAAGAGAAATGATAAATGAGCAAAGTAGTCTTTTAAAAGGTAACTTTGCTATTTATTTAGCATGGACCCTCTTTTTCTATGTTTATGTGCCTTTGTCTAATGGGAACAGCAAATTTTGAAATTGGTCTTGTATTGATCTAGAGGGCTGCAGCCACCAGCTGCAAAACAGGCCACAATAAAACCACTCGTGGCATTTGTGCACCTTCAGTTTACATCCACTAAAAGTGCTCGTTTTGCCACTGAGAGGATCAGATTGTTATTAAAAAGTTCTGTCAACATTATGTAAAGGAACCCTACAGAGATGGACCTTTTAGTTAAAGAGTAAGATCCTTTTTGTTTGAACAGAAACAACCCCAAAATCACTATCACCAAAGCTATTAGACTCCATTTAAATAAGCAGTAATTTTATCATTGTAAAACAGACTTCATTCAAAGTCAACAGAAACAATTATGTTTTGGTTCATCTTTCCACTGTTCCAATAATCACCAAATCTGGTTTGGTTAAAATAAACTCTTAATTCACCCAGTTAGATATAAAATGTGCTAGCTCCATACACGCTAAAATCACTGTTCAGTTAAATAGAATCTGTTGCATAATGTTGTCAGACACTTCTAATAACAATCAGTGCCTGTCAGTGGCAAAAACACACACTTTTAGTGGATGTAAATTGAAGGTGCATATTGCCCTGAGTGGTTACATTGCAGGCTGTATTGTGGCTGCCAGCTGCAGCCCACTCACTCCATACTGAACCAATTTTAAAATCTGGTGTGCATATTAGCCACTTGGACACAAGAACATGGAAAATTTGGGTCCAGGTTAAAAAATACCCAAGTTACCCTTTATGATAGCCTGACTGCTTGTGTTTCTTGTGCTCCATCCACAGGAGATGTTTCAGCCACATTCCACTCACCCAGCTCACAGATGTCCGAGCAACAGATACACTTCTTTTTTTTAAATCAATACAGCTGTCTACACCGGCTGTGTAATGGCTCGAGTTTCACTCACACGTAAGTGTCTTTTTAGGCTTCCAGTCTATTTTCCCCTGTTTTACATGTGTAACTACATTGACTGAGTATTGGGTTCTGACACGGGTGACCACACAGCAGTACTGTGGCTGAACACTGATGGAGGACTAAAGTACGTGTTTCTTCACTGCTTTCACACCATGGTTTGTGTAGACAGGTTGTTACCCTTTCTGATCTCTTTTAAGCGATGTCACCGTGTTCTCTGATGCCCGCAATCGATTTTGTAAGTGCAATGCTATCATAACTAACAGAAATGATGGACAAACCTAAAATATGACCAAATTCATAATAATCCACAATTATCCCTTAATTATGCCACATCTCTTTCATTAGACTGTAAATACCTTAATATAGTTCAAGAGTGGCACCTCTTTATCTGATCAATGGAGCAGACAAGTCAAACAGTAACACATCTCATCAATGACAATCAATCCAAACGTTTCAAAATGATTCAGTTGGATTTCCAACCTTAGATCGATGAAAAGTGATGAGTAAGGGTTTCCAGAGCAGAGGAAATACATTTTACCTGATTGAAAAGAAATAGGGACTGATTGATTCAACATGTTTTAGGTCTTGGCCTAAAATACAAAGGGTCTAATTTACACTGGAGTCAAAGGTCACTGAGTGCAAAGTTATGAGTCAAAAAAACACATGATGTGCAGCAGCTGGTAGAGAAGTCCTGATCTCGACAGACAAATCCTTGATTCAGCATTTCTTGATAATTAAAGACCCCTTCAGTACAACTTGATTGTTAATGCTTCATTATGTTCAGAGTGGCCCGCTTTAAGTGATTGGCCGATTTAAACTGCTGATAGGAGCAGCCCTTGTCTGATCTCTTTAAGTGCAAAGCTTGCGAATAAATCTTCTCCTACACAGTGACAGTAAAACAAGTGCCAAAAGCGGGCCAATTTTCCACTCTGAAGCTGCATTAAGAGAATAAGCAAGAGTGAATCCGATTAGGAATGAAAGATAGCTGTTGGAGATGGCACATGAGATGGCATTGATCTTTATTATTCAGCCATAACTGGGATTTGGGGCATTGGAACACTTCCCAGCATTTTACAGGAGCTTTATTTGACAGTTGAGCATAACATAACATTAAGGCTGTAATTTCTGCAAACAAAGCCTGTATTATCTGAATACATGTGGTACTCACTTAACAAGATATTATGAGCCTGCAGAGAGTTGTCTGGAAAAAGAAAGTCTTTTAGTTGAAGCTGTTGTTGGTGATTTGTCCAACAACTGCACAAGCTTTTGAGTTTTTTGGACTTCCACCTGCCACAAGAGCCACTGTGCCAATTGGTACATTGTACTTATTGAGAGTGATTCTACCCTAAGTCAGCATCCATCAGGGCTTTTGGCAACAGTAGTGCCGTTGCTGTTGGCATAGTCACCCACTCTTGCCCTGCCGAGGTGGGCTCGTTGCCATGGCTGTGTCGAAGAATGCAGCTAACTCATAAAACAAGATCAGGTAATACACTGGAGGCAGATACAGTATGCAGTGCGTCTGACAACTGAGGAAAATACCGCTGTTGATTGGTACACAGACCCCAGCTTACTGCTCACCAAGAAACAGCCAATAAGCTGAAAACTGCCTTAAATATAAAGAACAATTGACGCTGAAAATATAAGCGAAAGCAGGAATGATACAGAGAAGACAAGGCAGGACTCACCACCCCTAGCTTCTCAGCTGCGTTGGCCTTCCAGAGTCGGATGTTCATTTCATCAGAACCACTCAGGATGTATTTGTTGTCTGATGACCACTTTATGCAGATGACATGCTGCATGCGTTTGGTGTGGTAGACTTCCCTGAATTTAAAAGAGGAAAAAAAAAAGATAAATAAATAAGGCAACACGTCTGTTTTCTAATACAAGATAGAAAACAGACATATCCATCCACTTTGTGCTTGTATAACACTTATTCTTTATAAACCAAAATCTGCATATGAATCCAGAATCTGTAGGCAACAGGACAAGATTTTGGTAATGCAAGCGTTCTGGTTTCCTGCTTGTAGTCCATGTGGAGTCTAACAAGTATTGACCAATCAAGCTTGATTAGCTCTTATTAGCCTTTTAAAAAACAATCTGCTTTCATATGCAGATATACGTTTAGAGAGATTAGCCAAAATGACCAGCGCACAGAACAGAAAGTCTAGGCTCAGATATCCGCTGGCTACAATGGATCTCCAAAAACATTAGCCATTGCCCAGAGAGGCTTACTGTCATCAGACCGCTAGCCGACGGGTTCAAAGATTGTATAACATCACACTATTTACTCCTTTGCTTACAGAAAATAGTCATAAGAGACCTTTTTTAACAGCAGATGTTTTGAGTCGTCATAGAACTTCAAAAGCACCAACACACTCTCATCTCTACTCGTCAAATATCGCCGCTTTGTCAGTGGACCTACATGTCTAAATAGGTTGTGCTAGGTACCCTCCTGCATCAGTTTTGGATGTTCAGGGATGATGTGTCAATTTATGCTTGTTACATACTTTGTGTCTTTTCAAAATACACTTCCGTTTTCAGAGGAAATGTACAGTTTCTGCCTGTTACATGCATACCGTCTTTTTTTTAAATGAACTTGCAATGTAGAAAAAACACTTAATTTATAGGTTTATTTCCTGAGGTTTAGGCAACAAAAGCACATAGTTAGGGTTAGAAACAAACATCATGGTTTGTCTTTAAATTTACACTGGACGCAAACAGTGGACTCCCGGGTGAAAGTCTGGAGTTTGTTTGACCCATTCACCTCCCCTCCCTCCTGCCCTATGGACTTTCTTGCTCTTTACACTACGGTAGTTGCCGACAGTGTTACAAACTGCTGCCGCCCGGTGCGTAACATACCCCTGAGAAGGGTGCCTCTGTGCATTCGTCTCTGACGCCGATGACTACTGACAAAGCGCCAGTATTTGAAAAGTTGGGAGTGAAAATAGGCTGAAAGCACGGTGGAACTAAAAACAATAACGATGGCTCAATTTCATATAGGCTGAATCCAAATGTCCACCCTCTGGACTTGGGGACTGAGCCCTCACAGACTTCAGTTTCACGTAGTGTGACATATTTACTGTCATCACATTAAGTCTGCGAGGGCAGTGACTGCAAGCGGCTGATAATCAGCCCTCAAGATTGTTTTACTCATTGCTGTGAAAACAGTCAACTATCACTGCTGTCATATTCATATATATATATATATCACATAAATTGATGAATAGTGCTGAACTCATCTGTCCCTGCAGACAACAAGATGTAAATCTTATATATACCCTTTTTTTGTGACTGAACAAAAATGTATTAATACATCTCTATATAGCCTAATAGGCTACACATTTTCAAAAACAGAAATGTTTGTAAATGACAGGACTATAACTAAATAAATTGGGTATTACTGACATTAGAAACCTTCTTTTGCTGTTTTTCTGCCAATTTTTTTGCCTATTACACTGCGCAGTGTGATAGGCCACAATAATAAAATTAATTTTCATTCTCTTTACAGCCTATACTTTAACATATTTCTGTATCATGGTGTGGTTGAATATTATCTCTAGCCTACACAGTTCAAGTAACATTTTAATAGGCCTGACTATCAATATGTATTTTACACATTCATACATTTTTTCAGCAATTGAAAAACCACAACATCATGTATGTATGGCAATGAATTGTGGGTTATTAATCAGTCACCCCAAGCGGACTCTCTGGAAGTCTGTGAAAGTCCACTTGAGGCACCTTGTGGACTGGTCAAATTGTGGATTTAGAAAGCCCTCTGCACTCCCTGACTTCCCGGGAACGTGCCTGCAATGCCCGCAAGTCTGCAAGTGCGGTGAAGTCTGGACATTTGGATTCAGCCTAAGTGTCCTAGGGAGCCATTGCAGTGAGCCAGATGTGAAACAGCAGGGCACTAGAACTGGCTAATGTCAATGGAATGCTTGATTTATTGAGATGATTATTAAAGTTATTAGTAACGTGCGTATTATACCAAATATAATGAGTCACAATGTGTGCTGTAATGAAGGTCTATACTGGCTGAAAAGTACCCTATTTCTGCTTTCAGTCAAGTTTAAACTGCATTCAAACACAAAATGATCTATTTATGTAGCAGTCCAACTTGCCCATGCGTGATGCTACACAGTTTCATGTCACACAACTATGGCTATTTGTTCTGGACCATTACGTCATTAATTAGTGGCATTAGTTTTGCCAATGAACAACCAATATCAGCTCTGCTAGCCAGTAGAGTGCTCCAGGGATGACGTTTTTCAGTAAGTTCTGTAGTCTCATTTAGCTGCTTGTTAGCAACAGCCTTTTTGAAGATGCATAAAAACCTCAAATTTCAAGCATCTAACCAAAAACCCATTAAAAAAAAAAAACACTGACTTTGAGATGAGGGAATTATGAGACTAATTATGAAATAGTAATAGACTCACAGGTAATATACAATACAATGACACTGGTAATCATTTTAAACTGGTGGTTCGGGTCATACTAACCTGCTGTGGCCACCGTCCTTGGGGAAGATGCGAATGGTTTTGTCAAAACTGGCAGACACAAACTCCTTCCCAGTTGGAGAATAGTCAACATCCAGCACTGCAGACACATGGTCCATGTGCACTGTGATTGGCCGGTCCAGGTACCTCATGTCATATGTGTAGAGGCTGATGGGACAAAGAAACAAAGTTAGCCCCACTAGTAAACTTAGGTTTACGGGAAAGCACATCAGTAAAACAAGCATGGGACTGTGCATGAATTGCCTATCTGTTTTGAAAATCTATTAATGGTGCAAAGCTAGACTTCACATTTGTAGGTGAAAATGAGAATGAGGTTATTTTTCGTTTAATTGCCCTATCTATGAAGACATAAGAGATTTTAGGAATTTTGTTTTGGTGAAATGGCATCAACTTATAAAATCTGAGTTGTGCTTCAGAAAGGGAACCTTTTTGGTAACAGAATCTATTTGCCAAGCTGTGGAGAGGGCAGAATATTTTGTTTACGACCAAGCTGCTGAATAACCTGTTACTTTGTAATAAAACTAAATGTTTTTCCACTGGAAAATACTTTTGGTAAGAGCAATCAATCAACAAATGTAGTGTGAACTCCTTAGCACGTAAACAGGAGACCTCCTTTCATGCAAACATCAATACTATAAGCATGTTAGTAACTCTGTAACAATCTTAAACATCCTCAACTCACTTGTAGTCTTCATTTGAACATGTGAAGTAATAGGCTTCCATAGGGTTCCAGCATACTGTGTTGCTCCTCATTGTCATAATGACCTATAGAAGAAAATGAAAACACAAATATTAATCATATCATGTCATTGTAAAGAAATGGGGAGACAGAAAGGTACATTTCTAACCTTCAATACATAACCTTAAAGAATAGCAAAATTCAATACCATTTTCAATGCAATCAGGAAAAACTGACACTTTTTCAATAGAGATAAATACAACAAGGATATGACACGACAACAACAACTTTTCTTTTCTTGGTTAGTGGCAGAGGATCGCAGAATAACTGTAGTAAACATTAACATTATGAAAAAGCGCAGCTGGTACCAGTATATCAACACTGCCAAAAATGAGTATTGAAAATTTTTCAAATACTGATAATCTATATGTATCAGTCAATATTTCTGACATCATTAGTACCACATGAATAGCAGACCCTACCTTTTTAAGTGGTGCTGATTCTCTCATGTCATACAGTACTATACTTCTGTCAGAGGCACAGCTTGCAAGAAGTTCAGTCTGTGGAAAGAAAATAAACCATTAACTTTAAAGATATCAGCAGAGTGGCAGATTGAAGTGAGTCTGTCATTAACAACATAATGTGAGTCTGGACATGGACAAATTGTTAAACATCTTCACTCTGTGTCAGAAGGAGGCATGTCTGAGTGTAGTGGATACATGGTGTCTTACTTCCACAGGGTTGAAGCGGACAGTGCTGAAGCTGTCTACGCCCCACGTGAAAGAGCGGATTGGACTGCTCCTCTGCTCGTCCCAGATGTCCACCTGCTGGCCACATGTTGCAAACACAGCCTCACTCTGGTGATGGTCTAGTCCTGTAAAAACGGTCTTAAAAAAAAAAACAAAAAATCATTTTTACTATAATCAAAACATATTTCACTGACCCTTTGATGTCACAATCACCTTTTTCCATTATCATGATGTTACCACAACTGTCTTTAATAATAATACTACAGCAAATGCCAACTGATCTCACCTTGCCTAGAATAGTGTTGAGTGGCTCCTCTTCCTCTCCATAGCCTGGTGCCTCCATTTTCCATTGCTTTATTGTTTTGTCATCACCGACCTGTTACAGTCATGAGCCGAGATATAAAACACAAGCTGCATTAGAGGTCAGCTAATAATGAAAGACAAATAATTCAGTAAACTCTATTCAGATGTTGAAAGGCAGTCATCACCGTGAAGAAGGATGATCCACAATGGCGGACAACCATTCCACGGACAAAACCTTCATGTGCTTGGAGTGTGCGGACACATTCATGTTTGGTTAGATTCCACACTTTAACCTATGAATCAAACAAAACAATGTCATGAATGAGCTAAACACTTAGTAGTATTGTGTGTACAGTGTCACTTGCTTTGGCAGATGGTTACCTCTCCGTCGCAGGAGCCAGAGAGCAGGGTGGAGAGGCTCTTGGTGTGCTTGGCCATGCAGTTTACCCCATCTCTATGTCCATCTAGAGAGGCCAGGAACGGCTTGGCAAACACCCTCTCAAGCTTAGTGGCATTCAGAGCCCGGGTGTACTCTCTAGTCACCTCAAACGGATGGAGTGCTGGGTCATAGTTCCTAGGAACTGAAAAGGAGAGTGGTCACTGCTTAAGGACATTTTGTTCTCACAGATAGATACTTTTATTTGTCCCCATGGGCAAACTGGTTTGCAGCATAATCATAAAGGCAGTTTATCACACTATCACAAAGTCACTAATACGCATACAAGAATATCATCTATACACATACGTAGACAAAACAGATGTACTCATTCGTATGCCCATACAAATACTAGAGGGAGGGGGACAGACCAGACCAGCTGAACATTTTTAAGACCAGGACAGAGTGGCCAGAGTGCATGGGATAAAGTGCTAGAGCATTAACTGTTTAGATACTTAAAGGCTTGTGGAACTAATGGAATCTTGGCTGTGTTTTTAGTGAATAAAGGGGGGCAATAATGTCACCCATGCAGCTATAGATTAAATGAGGAGGCAAGATGGTTGCTCTGAATATATGATGATATTCATTTCTTAAAAGATGTAAGCAGGTCACAGCAGAGGCAGCATCGAAGAACAATAGAGCCACCTAGAGTAAAAATATATCCACACAGCTTCAATATGGCTTAAGAATACACAGTTGATTTTATGTTTAGCATTGTTTGAGTGCTAGCCTCAGTTGAAAATACAGATGTATAATACTCATTGGATTAAACTAACCTGTCATTACAGTGATATGTCATTATAGTAATTCATATACATGTCACATTTACTTCGTAGTCGTTTAATTTATCTCATATGACCTACTGGAGCTGCAAATATACTACAATTTACATTCATTAACATTGATGCTAATGTTTTAGCTGTTAGCTGATACATGGAAATTTAAATCAAAGTTTATAGACGTCAGTCTCTCCAGAGACAGTGACTTTGTCTGTTTTAGTCACAATGCACGGACTTGTAAAATAAATAGTTGAACTAGTCTTATTTAACTAACCTGTGACTGGTGTTTACTGAGGAAACTGACTAGCATTACTATCGTTAGCAGCGATATGGCTTCAACCTATCCGTGTTTAAAGTTTATCACTTACCACGCTGAATATCTAGTTTGGTCTCCCGGACATAATCGTCCGGGTTCCTCGAGAGGACTTTAACTTTCATTTGGCAGAGGAATTAAAATAGACAAACGCCTAAAAATGCCGTTAGGTTGAAGTTAAACAAGATAAATATTTGCAGGCACTGGCCATGTGTTGATGAAGAAGAAACTCGTTTGACCGCGGTGCATTGTGGGATGTCCAGTCCTCCCAGTTGCGTCACTGACAACTCTAAAGAAACAGCTGTCAAGGTGCAAAATTTAGCAGAGCAAGACCGGAAGTACAACAATTTGTTCTTCAAACTATTATTAAATTAAAATAAAATTGAAAAGTAATAATAATTTTAATCTAATAATTGAAATCAAAATTAAATTAACATTAAATCAAACTTTCATTGTTGTCTTTACTGAAATGTAAAATCAGGAGCGTCACTTCATATTAAGATAAACTGTCTTTAATGCACTTTTCAACCGCGTTCAACCAAATCAACACACACAACCTTAACACAGCTGCCACAATAAAATACAATTGTTTAATAGTGTTTAATGTATATCAATGATCTTTTAGCACATTTTAGGTTGAATTATTTAGTCAAAAAAAAGGCTCATGCACACCTTTGAAGAGTCTCCTGAGCAGGTGTGTAGAAAAAACTATTTTTTTTTATTATCCAGACAGTGAAGCTCCTCTTGGCAGAGCATATTACACCGACTGGGTCATCTGGAGCTTTATTTATAGATATGTTTACTATATATTTTTCTAAATATTCACCTATTGTATAATCACTGCTCTTTTGTGATATATTTGTTGTGACAGCAGTAACCCTTTTGATTTTACTGCTGACATAATTTAGATTTGCTCCTAGACTTAGATTCTAAATCTGCACTTTTTCTTCCCTTTAAAATACTGTTTTTCCTCCCTTTAATACTTTTTTATACAGCGTTACCTCTTATCGGGGTCCATATGTTGACACTGTTTGGTTTTGTTCATTATGAATTTTGAGTATTAAATGTATTTTTGATGTATCTTTTCTTTTTTTCAACTCTCTTTGTTCATGATGATAATTGTTTTCATGTCATCTGGATGGGTTGTATACCTTGTTGATTGTTTCCAATCCCACACAGCTTGTGATGCTGATTAATTGGCCTGTGATTGGTTACTCCTGTTGAGTTGTTTATCATTTAAGTCTGCCTTGTACCTAGTGCTTCAACTCTGCCTGACGAAGGTTGTAATGACCGAAACGTAGCTGCCTTGTCCCATTAAATATTTTGCAAGTTTGGCAACAGTGTGCAGGAATCCTTTTTCTTTTTTATTTCTTGACCAGGTTTAATTATTTGCCACTTTTTTTTTTTACAGCAGTTATATTTTTCTCTAATTTATATGAAAAAGAAGTGTAAAGATTTAAATTCAAATTCACTTTTTATGTGTTAAAATTTGGTTCATAAGTCCAATTTATAGATCAATGGTTTCCAGACATTTTCTTTTACTTGTGACCTGTTCTCACACGGTGCACACATGATGTGTAAGCTCAATCATAAGTGTTTTTCACTTCTTAGGCTTTTGAGTATTTGAGTAGTAGTAGAAATTCTGTCATAATTAGCATATGAATTCTTGAGATATAGCCAATAACATATTTTGTGAGGTCACAGTGACCTTGACCTTTGAGTACCAAAATCTAATGAGTTCATCGCTGGCTCCAAGTGGATGTTTGTGTCAAATTTGACGAAATACCCAAGTGGCGTTAGTGAGATATCTGTTAGCAAGAATTACATGGATGCAAGGTCACAGTGATCTTGACCTTTGACCACCACCATAATCTAATCAGTTCACCCTTGAGTCCAAGTGCAAATTTGAAAAAAAAAAAAAAAATCTTTCATGGCACTCTTGAGATATGCATTCACGACAATGGGATGGACTGATGGATAAACAATCTGAAAACTTTATGGCTCTGGCCGGTTTGGAGGCATAAAAAAAAGGCAGAAGTTCGACAAATGTTTGAAAATTATATAATTGTGCTGCAGAGCTTCCTCTGTCATCTTTTCCTATTCTGCTAATCATCTGTGTTTCTGTACATTTCTTACATACTCCTCTTGTATCTCCTTCAAGAAACTAAAGACTCTATTTACAGAAGTCCATCCTAAAGCCCTGCAGAAGCTGATGAGAAAAAAAAATCTCGTGATCCATTTTCAAAGTCTGCTCTAAAATATTTTTTCTGTCCCGTGTTTATGACTTAAGAACATGTGAAAAAAAGTTTTTTGGCCTTTCCAAGTTCCATAATCTTCAAATTTGTACATACAGTATATTGAGTTGGCAAGCTATGTAAAATTACTTTAGTGTCTTTTTCACTGTGATTTCCTCAACACTGCGACATCTGTACAGTACAACTTTTGTGCTGTAAGCTACTCAGAAAAAACAGAAATAATGTGCCTTACTGTACACACTATATTTTAGGTCATTCTGCTTACTTAAGTCACCATACTACTTTATGTGTTACAGGATACTGCATACAGATGAATATTTTAGCACGAATTATTCCACATTGTAACTTTGCACCGTTATTGCATAGAGTAATTATTTCGGTATCGTTTATAACGCTATTATTATTATTATTATTACTATTATTATTATTATTATTATTATTATTTTATTTATATCTTGTCATGTGTAACGTTACCTTTAAGTGGCTATTCCACGTCCCCTTTCCCTCAAATAAGAGTCAGAGTTTAGTTCCTACCTGACGTTGTTCTGCGGGGGACAGGTGTTAGTGTAACAGAGTGAGGTTAAAATGTGCTACAGTCTGTCTAGCCGTATGTTGGTGTGAATGTAAGAAGATAAAACAAGATAAACTGTAGCCCGCTTATTATCGACAAGCCATAAGGACTGTACCGAACAACATGTTATCGTTCGTCTAAAATGCTTTTACTTTGAAGGTTCCGACCGGAAACACCGCTCTTCCCTGTGGCTCTTTGACGTTTACTTAATACTAACAGCAAGGTCGTGCAGTGGCATTGCTGCTTGACATTTTGGAAAAAGGTTACTTCAGCCATGGACCGCTACCACATGTTGAAAACGTGTTCCAGCTGCTAATGTCCAGTGAAGATGCGGAAGGTTGAGGCAGGTAGCTCCGTCAGTCTAGCAGTGTCAGCAGGGCCCATGAGCTGTCGTCACAGTGCTAACTGTTACAGAGTGAGATTTTAACGTTACCTTACAGAGTGCTATGTTAGCCGTCAGGAGCTAACCAGGGTAATTACCGTTAAACATGAGTTCAGCTCCAAACCACCGTACCGTCAACATGACAGACAGCAAAGCAGTTTCTGCTGTCTCATTAGCTGGACGTGTCCAGCAGATGTTCACCCATGTGAAGATAGAAAACCTTATAGCAGGACTCAGTGGAGGAGTGGTGTCAACTCTGGTGCTGCACCCACTGGACCTGGTCAAAATCAGGTTTGCAGGTACTGTATGGCATTACACTTCTGCAGATGGACTTGTTTAATGGCAACGGTACAATGCTGTTATGGGTCATTCCTTCAGCTAATGAGTTATGAGTGTTTGCTGTCCTTTTAATGCAGTGAGTGATGGGTTGGAGTTAAGACCTAAGTACAGTGGCATATTGCACTGTATGAAGAGTGTGTGGCAGCAGGAGGGACTCAGAGGACTCTACCAAGGAGTGACACCCAATATCTGGGGTGCTGGAGCATCTTGGGGCCTCTACTTCTTTTTGTACGTAAGCTATTAATAAACCTGTTGGATCATGCCTGCACCATGATAGTTCTCATGACTTGCTTTGACCTCTTAAATGATCTGTAACTGTTACATGTCTTCTTTCTCACACTAATCCTCCCTTACAGCTACAATGCAATCAAAGGGTACACAAAGGATGGCCGTGAAACTGAACTGAGTGCCACAGAGCATCTGGTATCTGCAGCCGAAGCAGGTTAGTCCTACACGTGCGTGTGAACGCTGCTGCCTAGCTGCTACACTCACATACTTAGCACACAGTCAGCAACAGGCAGACAGGACTGCTCCGAGCTGGCCGTAGCTGAAAGGAAGCAGAAACAAATAAGTACTCAGGCCTGCAGCTCATTAAAGTCACACAGGGTCACATGCATCTACTTCTTGTTGGCCAATGGAGTCAGGAGCTGAGCAAATTTAGTTTCTTCAAAGAGGATCAAAGAGAAAGACAGGGTTTATTTTAGCTGCTTTAAACGGCATGAGAACAAACATTTTTGATTTGTAGGTTGAGACATCTCTGTATACTACAGAGCTTCATTTATAATGGTATGTTGTGACATATTTTACCTTTGTCAAAAAATATTGCGCCTGGCCATAATGGGATTTCAATAATATTTTGATTATTTGTGCAGCCATACAACAGATATAAAGATGTATTTAACCAGCTGAAATCTTTCAGTGGTATGATTGCCAAAACCTCCTTTTAATCACTGTTTTGTAATTATTTGAGAGGAATGTGTAGATGTGGTCTTCCTGTTGGCTTGAAAGAATTGTTTCTGCTGTCTCATTAATTGGATGTTTTGGCACAAGAACCACCGCTGAATGACAATGTATTGTTTATCATCTCATGCTGTGTGAACTCTAGTAACTGTGGTCTGCAAAAACAGCAGAGCAGTTTTGTCTGGCACCAACCACCACATTACAATCAGCTTCACTTTAGATCATGCCTCTTCCTCTTCCTATTGAGGCGAACACTTGATCCGCGGTTGAAGGACTTAGATCTTCAGTTGGAGGCACACACAGTAAAAATGCACCATTTGACGAAGCTGGCTGTGTGTGTTAACAATCATGTCTACCTAGCCACTGATTGTACTTTGGAGAGTCTGTATTTGAAAAATGTTGTTTGCCTTGTTTTAACAATACCTTCCTGTCCTCACCTAGGCATCCTGACACTCACACTTACCAACCCAATCTGGGTGACCAAGACCCGGCTGGTGCTTCAGTACAATGCTGACCGAACCAGTAAACAGTACAAGGGGATGGTGGATGCTCTGGTCAAGATCTACCGCCACGAGGGAATGGCAGGACTATACAAGGTTAAACATCAGTGTATTTTTCTACTTTAATGTAATATAGCATTACACACAAGGCTTATTTTACTCACTGACAGGTAGGCTGTTTTGTAGAGGAATTTCCAGACACTACTAAAGTAAAAGTTACTACACTCAAATAAAGTTTGATTGATTGGTTGGTTTATTGATCACCACTAGAGGGCATCAACAGCCTATAGTAGCCATAGTAGAGACCTCACAAGCCATGAATAATGGTAATAACAGAGAGAAGTATTACACTGAATGTGTGTTCTGTTGGCTTGGCAGGATAACTGCTACCACATTACCCAGTGAAATCTGACAGAAAGTCTTTAAAAAAGGCAGGGAGGGTCATAGTGTGTGCATTTCTAGATAATGCATTGTGGGTATACTTGTGTGTCATAAAAGACTGACTTACAAAGCATGTACTTGTCCAAGGGTTATGTTCCTGGTCTGTTTGGCACATCTCACGGGGCGCTGCAGTTCATGGCCTATGAAGAGCTCAAGAGAGACTACAACAAATACAAGAAAGTGCCTTCAGATGCCAAGCTGGTAAGTCATTAACCCCGCGAGCCACAGGCTGTCTGGAAACATGCTCAGTCTTTAATAAAAGTCTGGCATAAAGCTCATAACTTTGAAGTGTAATAGGACTGAACCCACAGTGGGTAACTAGCAGCTGAAGAAGTGATTCATCAGTTTGCCTACTCTGCTCTGCTCACGTCTCTCTCCGGCTGTTTATCTGTGCAGAGTGCATTGGAATATATCACAATGGCCGCATTATCCAAAATATTTGCTGTGGCCACGACATACCCATATCAGGTGGTGCGAGCTCGCCTGCAAGACCAGCACAATAGATACAATGGAGTTATTGATGTCATCAGACGGACATGGAGGTATGATACTGATCCTCTCACAAAGGGGCCGAACATGCATTCCTACTCTCTAAAATTAGCCGATAAGTAATGTTTTTTTTTTTTTTTTTTTTTTACTGTCTCTGCAGGAACGAAGGCGCCAAGGGTTTCTACAAAGGCATCATCCCCAACGTAATTCGTGTCACTCCTGCCTGTTGCATCACCTTTGTAGTTTATGAGAATGTGTCTCGCTACCTTATGGGACAAAATAAATGAGGCTTGGACAGCTGCAAAGACTCTGAGCTCACACTGACACTTGGGTGCCATTCAGAGATACAGAGAGAAACACGTCAGACTGGAGCCGAACTCTGTGCGCAGTGTACATGTGAATGTGGCGATGTGAGAAGCATTCATCTGCACTGACAATGACTGAAAATGTTGCCAAATGGAGCAGTGAAACCAACGGTGGATTTCCAGACACATGACAAACACTTTGACTTCTAGAGAACAGCATGTTGCTCGTCATGACAGAGAACAAGCTGACGTTCTGTTAGTTTTTTTTTTGTTTTTGTTTTTTTAATGATGCATAAGTCGGCATTTTTATCAGAGTTTTGATAAATATTTCATCATAATTCTGTTTACATTTTATGTTCTTTGGTGTCAGAGAAGGGCACAGGATGAAATATGAAAAGCTGATTATTAACAACAAATTCGAGATCTTCTCAGGGTTCAGTTGCATGTGTATGTAATATTAGGCTCTGTCTACATGTATGCAGATATTTATATAAATGGATGTTTTCCTCTAAGTTTTGGCTTCTCGTCCACATGCAGTTTTAGGTCACTAAAACTAGGTCACAGAGACTTTTTGAAATGACTTCTAAGGTGCAGATTTTTCAAAACAATGGCGGACTACCAGTTTGGTAAAGTTTTGTTAGCACTGCTTGGTCTAAGGATTACTTGATATATACACTTAGCATTGCTGCACTACTTCACGGATGAACAGAGGCATCTGCTGCACCCAGTGTTTTTGCTCCACCTCAGAGTCCACAGTTCAAAGTCCACCATAAACAACGGTTTTGAATCAGACCTGATCGAACCAGCAGATGGTGGGACACTTTCCAAAGTGGGATGGTTGTCTATGAGCTTTAGAAGGAAAACATTTGCATGTACAGAGCATCACTTGTATATTGGAGTGAGCGCCTCCATCCTTTAATTGAATAGCAATCAACGGTGATGAGATCTTTAGCAGGAGTTTTAAAAAACATGATGTTGTCCTGTACACTTTACTACTTTTGTGAGGAGGAAGGCAGCTAACGCCGAGGAGCGTTAGGGGTGGTTTTTGCATTTTAGTGTGGACAGAGATATTTTGTAAAAGGAAGGTCATGTGGACAGATTTATTTTTTAAAACGGAGGGGGAAAATTTCCTTTTTCAAAAATATCTATACGAGTAGACGGGGCCTCAGTTTGTCTCTTAAATTATTATTTTTTATGTAAACAGGTTGCAGCAATGGGCATGATTTTTGTTCTTAACACACCAATACAGTACATTTATTCCACATTTAATTTGTTTGCTGGCAACAAATTGTAACATTGCTTTATCAACATTTTGTTACAAAATCCAAACTGTGATTCATCTGCATTGTCATGTTTGATAAAAATACATTAAATGTATTACTTTGTGGCTACATTAAGTAAGTGCAGTGTAGTTCGAAGCTCCCAATCATAATGAGAAGTCATTAACTTTGAGTCAAATTCTTAAAAAAAAAAAAAGTATTTTATTAACAGTAATAATGACCAGAAACATGTCACATGAGTACAGTTTAAATATTGTCAATGTCTTGTCACAATGTCTGTTAATGCTTACTGTGTATACCAGCAGCACCCGTAAGCAGAAAAGCTACAGTACAAAGTTTATTTCTGGTAGACAGAATGACACAGTATTCTTGTTTATAGGCCTGTCAACTAGTATAGCATTTAAAAAACAAAACAAAACAAAAAAAACATTCAAGTTACCAACAGTGACGCTGTGACGCCTCGGCAAACCATACCTGATTATTTCAGAGGGCCAGATAACACACTGTCATACTACCAGGACTGGGCCCTCCCTGACATGTAACTTTTTAAAACTTTTATTTTGGCAGTTCCTCAATAATAATCCTGGATACTGAATTCCACCCTGTAGAAGCGTCACCTCTGGGGTAGTCAGCACAAGTCCCCACCCACACAGCCACATCCACCAACCCCGCTTTGACACCCTCACACAGGCCTTCAACTGGAAAGAAAAAAAAAAGACAAATGAATTTCAGGGAACACCCAAACTGTCTCCAGACACAGCAACTGTTAATTGTTTGGTTTTCTGACACAGTGATAAAACTCTCCAAATTGGAAGGGTGTAACTTTACTTAAAAGATTGTTGACAAAGCTTTCCAGCTTCCACAGTCCAAGGTTAAACAACCACTTCAAGGAGCAGTGTGTGGGATTTAGTGGCATCTAGTGGTGAGGTTCCAGATTGCAACCAATGAAAAACCCCTTCACTCACCCCTCCCTTTCCTAGTGTGAAAAGAACCCATGATGGCCTTCCGGTAACATAAAAACCTGAAATGCCCTCTCTAGAGCCAGTGGATAAGAAGGGCTCATTCTATGCCAACGAAAACATGGTGATTCCTGGTTTCAGGTGATTATAAAGTCATGAAAACTTAATAATAAATATTAAATTCTGCTAGCAGATCCCCCAAATCCAACACACTGCCCCTTTGGAGGAACATCTTGACATTTTGGGAATTATGCTATTTGCTTTCTTGCTGAGAGATGAAAATCTCAATATCGCACTCATACAGCAGCCGGTTAGCTTTGCTTAGCACAAAGACTGGAAAAAGGGAACAGCTAGCCTGAATAGCTTGTTTGTGAGGACTAAACTAAACACATGAAACTACTTGGTGAGTTTTATAGGTGTTAGGCAGATTTTTTTCACATTTAGAAACAGCCAGGCTAGGCCAAAGCTCAGCTCGCCTGGTAAGTGTGCACCTGACATAGGTTGAGTCCTTTGTAGAGGCTTGAGTTAGATTCCGACCTACGGCCCTTTGCTGCTTGTTATCCCCTGTCTATCTACAGTTGTAGTGTCTATCTACAGCTAACCTTAAAATAACGGCAAAAATGCCCCAAAAATTATCTTGAAAATAAGAAAGAGCAAGGCTAACTGTTTACTCCTGCTTCAAGTTTTATGCTAAGTCAAGCTAACCGGCTGCTGGCTCCAGCTAAAGCTCATCTAACACCTAACTCTTAGCAAGCAAGTAGATCAGCGTGTTTCAAAATGTTGCTCTGTTGCTTTAAACTCAAGCATTATACAGTATAGCACTGGAAAAAGTATAGTTGGTTAAGGTTTCTTGCACAACAAAGTCAATAACTTGAGTCCTACCTGAGGATGTTCTGTGGATGTTGATGGTTGAGTTGAGCTCAGGACTTCCTTGGTCTAAATAGATGATGGACTCGATGGGCAGGGGTCCTGTGCACTCTGCTCCATTAAAGGTGAAGTACCACCTCTGACAGCATGCGTTCTTACACTTGAGTCTGAGAGAACCACTGAAGAGGACTCTGAGGGCGCTGTCTGAACGCATCTTGGTGAATGTACAGTCCTGCAACACAGCATAGGGAAATGCTGCCATGTTTACACACTGTGGTGGTTGTATACTGTTTGACAATTAGTGAAATGGCTGAAACAGACAGCCACATGTCGTTCAAGGTATCAGGATACTTACTGCTACTTTACCCAGGTCGATCCCATAATTCAGAGAGTTCCAGGCACACTGCTTGTAGTTGGGCCTCCACGGCTCTTCGAAGACCTCGCTCATGCACTCGCCCTTCTCGCCTTTGAGCCCATCACGTCCAGGGATGCCCGGTGTTCCTGGGATGCCGTTGGTTCCAGGGTTACCCTCTCTGCCAGGGGTGCCTGCTGGCCCCTGCATGCAACTGCCATACTGGAAAAACAGGCAGAAGAGGAAGTAGTGATGGAAGCTGACAGTAAAAAAAAAGCATGCAATAACAACAGCAGAGTCTATTGTTATCTAACTTCCTGTTTCAGATTTTCTTTTTTTCACCCTGGTGGATAAGTCTCAGTTTGGTCTGCATGCACTGTGGACACCTAAATGCTGCCATTCATCCAACCATCACACACAAGAAGCCAGATTATACCTCATTTACCAGTCATATAAACAAATACACTGCCATAGGACTGTAATAAGTGTAAAAACAGATGGGATCCAAACCAAGGCAAAGCAATAGAACCAGCAACCATGAGGCCGTGAAGCAAGTGAATGACAGATTGTGTGTTAATGAGGAAGTGAGGGCTTTCAGACAGCCTAAATTAGTAGGTGTTTGGCCACACATCTATCAGTGTGATTCATTGTCCAGCTGAATCTCCTGCTATGTTTAAACAGATGCCGCGTCTTACTCAAGCTGAGTCAAACACACACAGAGACACACGGAGACACACAGAGACGGGGGAGCTTGCCAAAACTGCCCTACCACATACAGAGACAGACACAATGAAGATCCAAATAGCTTGGTGTAATATATTCTTCAAAGAGCCATTTTGACCAGCAGATTACAGTGTGTAGGTTAGCTCTTAAGGCTTTTTTTAGTTGGAGTTGGGTTTTAATTTTGGTTATGTGATTTGTAAGTGTCATTTAGTCATTCCTTAGTCAGGACAGACATAAACTGACACGTAGATGTGCGTCCTCGCCCTTAAGCAAACACTGATGCCAAGAGGATTTGGGTCTAGGTTTTTGTTGGGTCATTGCTGCCCTTTTGCTCAGCATGCAGCTGTGGAGCAGTTTTAGGGGCACATGGCCAAAAGGAATAAAGGCAAAAAAGTCCCCGGGCAGGAGAGGAGAACAAAGAGCTTTAACTCCAGTTTCAACATCTTGTCTTGACTTGAGTCTCTGGGGTGAAGTAGAAAAATCTATCTCAGATGATGTGAATCTGGAAAATGTGTAAAAGTAGGGGGAATTACTATATTCTTATGTCAGCTGCTGTGAGGCAGATGGTCAAGAGTCTGTTTTAGCCATTAAGTGGCTTTGCTGGAGCAACCTGGAGATCTGACATCATCTTTAAGGAAAACTGGGAAGGCTGTGATGAAACCAGTAGATTGTGGTTTGGTATGCATGTGCTGTAATAGACGTGGAATTTGTCCTCAAGGAAAAGGGGCACCTTGGCTAATGGGGTGACAAAATGTGGAAATACAGAGTCCGTTTGGTTGATATTCAGACATTCAGCAAGGAGGACTGTTTTATTAAGGGTTGGATTTTTGGAGACATTTCAAAGCAGACTAATGAATGGAACCTCTGTCCACTTTGCTACACAGCTGACTTTAATATTAGCTTCCAGTCTGCAGTAGTGGTGCTGCCTGCCTGCAGGAATTACACTCCAGCTCTTCTGAATATTAGTAGCACACAGCCAATTACTGTAACTGAAGCATAAAGTCTGCATTCGCCCCCAAAGTGCAGAGGAATCAGTTGTATTTCATGCAATAGCTAACACTGAAACAAGGACTGAAGCTCTTCTGGAGCATGCACAGCAAGATATAATGCCTCAGACATTTGTGAATGTACAGGACCATGGAAGGATGCAAAGTAGAATTTTATTTTTACCACGTTCATATAAGCAGATCTTCCTTCTCCAGAGTGTCTAGTGCAGTTGGGCTTTTCTGCATCATTTCCAGTGCACTAGATACAGATGGTAACATGAGATGCTTTTCAGTACATCCCCCTACTGTGGTCTCAATTGTGGTATATGACTTTGGAGGATAATAAGAGCAACTGCTTGAGCTCTGTGGTTCTCAGAGTGGGGTACGCAGACTTCTGGGAGTCCCCAGGGGAGGTCCACAGAGTCCCAGTAAAATAAACACGAGTTTCACTTTCATTTGACTCCCAAGAGATTGAGGAGAGAAATGTGTGTCCACTCTGTTCCTTCACTATCCACCTAGGCTATAGCATGGAGGGTTATATAACTCTCGACAAAGATAGTCTTAAGATTGGGGTTGGTGTGAATTGGGTGCTGTGGACTTGTTGATCATATCAGATATATTGTAATACATGTATCAGCCTTAAAATATTAGACAGAATTCCTCCAAAAATCAAATCATATAACTGCTTATAAACTAGTAAGACAGCCAGAAAGATAACAAAGAGACAGACAGTATGAGCCAGACCCCAACTTCCTGTTAGGGTTTTTTTCTGTCCACTCAGTCTGCTGGAGAGCAGCCAGGCCTGGAATAATAGAGAACCAGCTGACCATACAAAAGCTATAAAACAGCATTTCTCATCTGCTGCTGGGACCAGGTAATTTTGGAGACCATAATGCCAAAGTGGTGACCACACTCATTGCACTGTAAGCATACATGTGGATCATGTGGATGAATCAGCATATTACTTTTTTCTTTTTGGGAAATCACTTGTTTAAACATAGGCCTACTTCTGGCATGCCACAAGAAGAAGAAATCCCAGGATGAGTTTTATGAATATAACATGCAATGTGCCCTATGGATGTTAACAGAGATGCATTAAAAAGACAACAAAGCGCGATAAATGACAATAAAGCCATTCTGCTGTAGTTATTAACATTTCAAATAAGCTCCATTTGGAAGCATTTTGGTTATGGGAAATCACAACATCTATCCAAAACGCACAAGTCCTTCCTGGAAATGGCACAGAGTCTACTTTTAGAAATGATCAAAGCGGCCGCATGGTTATTTCAGCTTATCTCTCTTACCTTATCAGCGTCAGGATCCTTTCGGTATCCTCTATTTCTCACCTTTTCCACGCCATAGAGCGGTAAAGCCAAGCAGACAAGCAGCAGCAAGCGGGCAGTGAGAGGAGACATCGTGCAGCAGACAACGGACGGACTGTGCGCGCGCTCTGAGAGGCTTGAAGCGACAGTTTGACTCCAGCTCCAGACAGTTTAGTCCAGATGAGGGCAGGACAAGAAGGAAGGAGCCAGTCAATTTACAGAAACATTCTGTGAGGGAAAAAAAAGCATCACAACATCCCTGTGATATTCATATGGGCTGCATAAGTGAGTCAGTCATGTTTTATTTTCTTTTTCTTTATTTACTTTTTTTTTGGCAGTGCCGGACCTAGCACATACAGCACCCCCCCCCCCCCACCCCCCCAAAAAAACAAAAAACAACTAAAATTTAAAAAATTATTATCTTCTGTACAGTGTCTATTGTATTGATCATGAACAAGATCGAGTTGATGAGAAATCAACAAAATAAAAAATGAAAGAATACAGTATGTGCAAATCTGCCAATCTCCACATACACCCATACACTTTCCCATATATCTTATTATTAATATAGGTACATACACTCACCGGCCAGTTTATGAGGTACACTGGTTCAACTGCTCATTGACACAAATAGCCAATCAGCCATTCACATGGCAGCAACTCAATGTATTAGGCATGTAGACATGGTCAAGACGAAACTGCTGATCTACTGGGATTTTCACGCACAACCATCTCTAGGGTTTACAAAGGATGGTCTGAAAAAGAGAGTCCGAAAATCCCCTAACAATATCCAGTGAGCAGCAGCTCTCTGGGCAAAAATGCCTTGTCGATGCCAGAGGTCAGAGGAGAATGGCCAGACTGGTTCAAGATGATAGCAAGGCAACAATGTTACAACTAAAATATGCAGAAGACCATCTCTGAACGAACAACATGGCAAACCTTGAAGCAGATGGGCTATAGCAGCAGAAGACCACACCAGGTGCCACTCCTGTCAGCTATGAACAGGAGACTGTGGCTACAATTCACACAGGTTCACCAAAAAAAAGGTTGCCTGGTCTGATGAGTCTCGATTTCTGCTGTGACATTCAGATGGTAGGATCAGAATTTGGCATAAACAACATGAAAGCATGGATCCATCCTGCCTTGTATCAGTGGTTCAGGCTGGTGGTGGTGGTGTAGGAAGATTTGCCACTGCTTTTTGGATAGATTTGTGTACACTATTTGGCCTGTGTGAAAATATTAGTGGTGCTAAAGTAAAAATTCATCATAAAAAGCAGTAAATGACTCACACAAATACAAATTTTATTCAATTATATTTTATTAAAATGAAATTGGATTGATACAAAATTCAGCTGACAAGATAGGCTACATAAAAACAGTAAAAAAAAAGGCTCAAAAAGTTGTGTGGAGCATTTTGTAGACTACACTAAGTCTAGGTACATGGTAAGCAAGACCCCCGTCCACATGCCAGAATAAGAATATACAACAGAAATGGACTGACAAGAATTCCCTTTTAGTTGGTGTTATAATAACTGTCCTGTGACTCACAAAAATTAAAGGTGCAGAGCCTCAAGGGAAGAATCAACCCTTGCACAGCAAAATAGACAGTACAGCATGACAGATTTTCACATAAATCACACCAGTTGTTCTGGAAGTACTTGAGGGAGAAAAATATAGTCTGTGACCATATGTTATAAATAACCCCTGAAAATAGCCCCAAATTCTCTCTTTTTGTTTATGACTATTCATATTTAATAATTAGTGGTTTGTGCTTCTACTGACAAATAGTGCAAATCCTGTTTGACTTGTTTCCTCGATTTGATTAAAATCATATGAATTCACGCTCAGTCTAAGAACACAGGTAGACATCACACATGCAAAACATCTGGGTATTCTTTGATGTTCTCTGAAGATGAGAAACTTCTCAGGCACATTTTTGTAGGAAAACTATAAAGCTATACTTTATCCAAGTTGACAGGAGACTTCTTTGAAGACACATCTGCATTACAAGTGTTTGTACAACAGAAATAAAAAACAGAAACACAAAACAAGTTTTTGAAAGAGAACTTAAAATCACATGTTCAACATTGTCTAAAACTCAACTATATCAAGTTCAAGAGTGTGCCTTTTTTTTAAGGAGTAGCACACATTGTATATTACAAGATGACATTTGGAGAAAAATCATCTTTCTAGGAAGAACAATAAGGCATTGAAAAAACTGTTTACCACAGGAAAATTTCCTTAAAGGCATACTATGCAGGATTTTTGACGGAGAGGATAAGAGTGGCCTAGAGTTGGTCTGTCTGGTCTGAACAGGTAGGTGCCAAAGTTTGGCAGCTTGCTTTAAGTATCAGCCTTTCAATTACAAATGTAACATTCCTTAGATAGTTCCGTAGCTTACGATGTACATACAAGCAGTGAAGTGAGGAGGGGCCAGGTTTGAATGTTGTGTTAACAAACAGGAACTGTCAGATACTGCATAGTATACCTTTAAGTTGAATGTTCGGCAACATCATGACCTTTCTTAACATAACTCTCAGTGTAGTGACTAGTCCAGTGAAAGACTTCATTTCTAAAAAATAGAATATTTACATAAATATTGCATTTGTTTTCTAGTATGCATTCTATGGCACTGAGCTACTAATCTACAGAACAGCAGAGCTTAAGTTTTTCATGCATGCTATAAAATGCTGTGATTGGTAAAACATTGGTAGTTGTGTTGATGGACCACAGTGTGCTGCTGCAATATTCAGGTACATACTAAATGGCCAAAAGCTCAGTAAAGCTGAAAGACACAGCCATCACTCACACTAAATATTCCGTCAGATTCTGGTCCAAAAAACCACATTGGATTTGGTGTATTACATTTTGCAGGCAATGAACAATCACTGACTACAGTGTAACTAATACAATCATAATCAGATGCACAAAGCTTATATGATGTATGACACAAATGGGAACTGTGATTTTGAAACAGCATCAAGTGTGACTGTTGTCTGTGCATCCATCCATCCTTGAATCGACTCCAACACATTTGAGGTGCGTCAGACGTCTCAGCAGGTGCTGTCCTTTGTGTCCTTGCTCTCCTCAGGCACCTGGTGCACCAGCTGGTTGGAGCCCTGGATGTTGCTGCTGTGTGATAGGTTTAAAGCTGGATGCTGCTGTCCACTGGAGACGTGCTTGGTCTCTGACAGCTCGCTCCTCGGAGTCATCCTAAAGCAGCCAGGACACATTAGAGATTATCATAGGCCATTACTTGTACAGATAAAGTTCTGTATGACAAAAAATGACAGAGGAATAAGCTGCCTAAACAGCTGAGATATAATAGAAATGTATATTATATCAACACACAGAATACTGAAATTAGTTTAAGTGGTACATCTGTGCTTTTCAGAAACAAAACAACATTTAACACTTGTGGCAATGGTATTTCACATCTGTCTTACTTACCTCCCATCTGGGACTCTGTGCATGCTCTCTGAGCGGCTGCTCATCTTACAGGAACTCCCCCCTTTGCTACGCCTCTCTCCCCCTTCCCTATCCCTCTCCCTATCCCTCTCCCTCTCCCTCTCTCTCTCCCCCCTCCTGGAGCTTCGGCTGGAGGTGCCCCTGTCCAGGTGATCTCTGACTGAGGCCTCAGATAGAGAACCGTGTACACGGGGCTCGTGATTGCCCAGCACAGAGGTTCCTTGATGTGTTGTAGTGGCAGCGGTGGAGGCATTGGCGGGTGCAGCGCCAGTGCTCGTGCCCATTGACTTGGAGATGACCTTGAGCTTGTGGGAGCTTGGCTTGTAATGCTTCTTCTTGTGCTGGACGCGGCTGTTGTGCTTGAGGAAGAACTCGCAGGACTCCTGGAGCACCCGCCGGCTCTCACTGATGGGACTGTGGATCAGAGAACATGAGGGGATGGTGAAACTACATGTTTACTTCTCATGGAAACTGGACTTGAACATGTGACAGGACAAAAGACGTGGCCTTACTCTCTCTTGCGGGTCCTGTTGAAGAAGTAGGCCCACTCAGAGCAGGTTTTTTTACTGCTCACCCAGAACACTGCAGATATTCCAACCACGAGTGTCATTAAGTATTTCACCAGAAACAGGGAGAGGTCGGGGCGGTCGTGCTCTGTAGTCTGGAACAAAGAGACACACATAAACCATAATAGAATCCTTGTGATTTAGTGGGCGTAAACTAGAAAAAACAATTTTTGACTTAAGACAAAATCAAGCTTTTGAACTTTTGGGCATGAGAACTGAACTTTGTTTTCCTCTTTTACAGTGTCCTTTGTACACAATCTCTCCTGATTATTTTCACACTGTACTACAGAACACAATAGCTTATGTATTACAAATGACATTGTTGGAGAGAAAGTGGTTTTTAAATGGACAGCCATTTTAAAATCAAAATATAGACAGATGTTGTTTTTGCTCTGCTGAAGGAGGACTCCATTACATCTATACGCTGTCACAAGTGGTAATATATGCATGCTTCCTTCTGCAATGTCAATATCTCTAACACACCAAAGAACCAAGATTGATAAATAGCACAACAGGTAAGAAGAAAAATATCTATTTTTGATTTTGGGGTAAACGGTTCCTTTAAATGTTTTTTAACAACTGATTGCAGTGTCATTTTTTTGTCAACTGAGCTGACATTAGCTGCAGACCTTCAATCAACATACATCAATAAACATGAGTTGGAAAGCTTTTTTCTAATATGTCCTCTGTCCTTTGCTTGTTGGGAGCAGTAACACCTTCAGCAAGTGAATAAGCCACAGCTACCTTGTAGGAGCAGGGGATGCTGTACTCTTGACAGCGGTCGTTGATCCAGGTGTTCTCCCAGGTGCTGCGGTGACTCTGCTCGTAGGTGTAGCAGGCTAACAGGGTGACCAGCGGGACCAGGTAGAGGCAGCTGAACACGCCGATGCGGATCATGAACTTCTTCAGCTTCTCCTGGTTGCGCTCGTCGTGCTGGATGACCTGTCGGACGTGGTTGAGAGAAACGATGCCTGCCAGGATGAGGAAGAGGCCGACAATGACTCCCACACACAGAGGAGCCAGGACAAAGTAGCGCAGGGCGTCCAGGTCGTAGAGCCCCACAAAGCAAACGCCGCTGATGTTGTCCCCTTCAACCTTGTTTAGAGCCAGCAGCATGACAGTTAGCGC